CATAACAGTGTTAAAAATCTCCCATATTGTGTCCATTAAAGCCAATGCAAAGAGATAAACTCATCCACCCAGAATTCTAATCAATGCAAAGAACAATCTAGGCCAGAACACTAGTTTGTAGTCCACTCCTCACAGTCCTACTCTGTTTTAATCAGAGTATGCCCCCTAAATCTCATGGTTTTGCTTATAAGCAGCAGCAGTTTCTTTCAAAGAGAAAATCAATATTGTGCATAAAGGATGCCCCCCACACAACTTTTCCCAAGTTAGCATCTTTCACATATGCTGGACTACAAGTCCCAGATTTTCTAGTCAACATGGAAAAGTCATGGAAGTCATCACAGTATTGCTAAATAAGCTATGTTAATTTTTTTCCCAATTTTTTGGTGAGACGTGCCATGCCATTCGCTGGGAAACCAGGCTTTCTAATGCTGCTTGCTTAATGTCTCCTTGTGATAAAGTAACCATTCCTGCTTCCATTTGAAAAACATTTCATGCTGTTTGATAGGCACTCTTGTTTTCTAAAACAACCTGAGCTTGTATACTGCCTGGTTTATACAGTATCTATATACTGCCCAGATTGCTGCTTCACTGTCATCATGCAGGTTGACAATACAGGAAGAAGGGTAGTGGAAAAATAAAATATATCACAAGCTGTGGGCAGGAACCCAGGTCAGCTAGCAAATGCTACCTCTAAAGTCTGTATCTTGATTTGTGCCTCAAAAATCAATACAGCCCAAAAAGAGTGTCTCAAGTTCATTGTGTAGGTACTTCTGTTGTCTGTATCAATGTGTTTGCAGCCTCACAACAGAATCTGAACAAAGAGAACATTGTAACCCTGCGCAGCTCATGTAGTGCGTATACAAGCCAGCACCAGTGCCACACGCTCTGGGTAGAAAGCAAGAACTGTATTAGCAAGAACTGTATTAGCAAGAACTGAATGGGAAGTATACAAACAATTAAATAGCACTGATGATCTACTTTCTCACCAAGTCAACACTCCCAGGTAATTATTTCATCTTTTTTTATGAATTCTGGTAAACAGTCTGGGATTACAAGAACCTGGATGTTGCCTTTAGAATAATGCCAAAAACGATTAAGCTCTTGCCATGGTGGCATTCTTTTAAATCTTAGGGGTATCTGGGCATTTTTATCAGGGTAAGACTAATGCATCACAGCCTTCTGACCCTAATAAACATCATGAAAATTGTTTGTGATCTCTTGTTCAGCAGAAGTAAATGATTTTTTATACATAGCGATTGCTGCTGGGCATAATTTCAGTCTGACTAACTTTTGAAGAACCAAGATAAGTCTCTCAGCCACTGGAAGGATGATTCCAAGGCCTTGAAAATCATGTTAACCTGAAAAACAGCTTGCTAGATAGCTGGGGGACAAACTG